TTGGAAATCCCTGAAAGAGCCGGGTTCTGATCTGGGTCCTGCACACCCGGCTGTTGGCAGAGAGCTCCTTTTCGGAGAGCTGTAACTTTATGCTTCCTGAGAGGTACTCGGTGGTGGAGACTCCGTTCCAGATGGCACCGTTGGCTAGCAATGGCTTTCTCCGGTACGTTTGGCAACCTTACTCAGAATTGACGTTTTCAGCTCCTAAAACTTCCAGCCTACACCGCTTAACAGGATCGCGGGGAAGCTTTGGGTAAATGAAGTAGGTGCAATGACACATCTTATTAAAGGTCTCGCAGCTATGAACATCTGATATCTGTACCGAAAGCACAGGACTTAACACAGACTCCAGTGAGATTTGAGTGGTATGTTGTCATTTGAAAGGTGCTGCTGAAATCAATTACGTTGTCCATGCTTGCAACTGTTAGGATTTTATTTTTCTTTTGTGGCACTGGTAATTGAACCTGGGGCCTCATGAACACGAGGCAACCTTATTCTACTACTGAACTATAACCTCAGCCCAGTAGAGGATTTTTGGACTTTGAGAAAACAATTGAATTAACTGACTTCCATTTAAAGATGGCTGCCTATTAAATGGGTTTTTCTCTTTCCTAGCAATAAGGTAAAGATTATTTTTTTTGGGGGGGGGCTATGACTTCCTCATTGTTCAATAATAATAAGTCATTAAAATTCAAATGCCAATGGTATGTATATAAGCAGCAATAAAAACATCCCTCTGTGACTGGGAAAAAATGATTCCTTCAAGCTACCAACCTTGCTGGAGGGAGGTCATAGCCCTCCCAAGCGACCAATACAAGACTCTGCCAGCTAAGTTGCCAGCCTGCTAGTGGAGCCACTGTCCATCTTGCCAGCAACCCATTCAGAATGTTCCAGAACAGGTATTTCATTCATGTCATTTATTTCTGCTAACTTTAGTAAGTGGACGATGATAAAACATGTTCCATAGTTTAGTATTTAAACCAAGAAGCAAGCAAACCAGAAAGAGAGAGAGAGATACTGTGGTTCTTGGTCTACTTTTCTAGACACATCTTCAGGCTTCAAAGACACCACACGGTCATCTTCATCAGAGATTTTAATGAGGTAATAAAAAGTATTTGCTGCATGTGCTCTTCCTGAGTTTGGCCTGGCTCCTCCCAGCTCCTCAAATTTATTGTGTGCCATCCCCCATCCTCCCACCCAAGCCCCTAAAGCACACACCCACTGGGAGTCTTCCTGCTCCCCAAAGGAAGTGGTCCAGTCACATAATGTCCCTCCTGCAATCAACCCTGAGAAATGCCACTTTGATTAAACACAACTCTGAATGACTATAGTACAGTAAAGTCTCCGCAGCGATCTTTCAGAACAACCGATCACTCTCCAGTGGCAGCAACCCTCCAGAGTCTATTTTAATCAAAATGATGTTGCTAATTAAGGACTGAAATCTCTAAAGAGAATGAGAAAGAGGGATCTCCTTGTCTTCTGGGCAGGTCGAGGAGGCAGAGTTTGCTAAGAGGAAGTACACATCCCTTCTCCCTTTGACCCCATTCTTCCTTTACATTAGGAATTAATCCAAAATAGGCTTGAGTGTTTTGTAATATTAATATGTGTGTGGGGGGGAGATGAGGAAGAGGATGAAATTGCTTGTATAGCTACACACACATAGATAATATTATCTCTAAAGTTTTTACATTTAATGCATTTAAAAAAAATTTCAAATGGCTGTGAATGCTTGGCCTCCAAATATGTATGCAGAGCAACTGCATCCTGGTTTCTTCCTAGTTCAGAAGAGGGTGTCAGATGCCCTGGAACCAGAGTTGTCTGTGGCTTTAGCCACCTGTGGGCACTGAATCCTCAGTCACAGCGGCAAGTACTTCTAACTACTGAGCCGTAACGGCTCCAGCCCTCATTCAATATTTGCAAGGTTAATCTTTTTCAACATTTTTTGTCTGGCGCTGTCTGTCTTGATTTACCCAGAGATAACAGTTGTGGAGAGATAGCTATTCTAGACAATGCTGGAAACCCATTTTATACACACACACACACACACACACACACACACACACACAGACACATAGACACACACACACAGACACTCACACACACACACACACACACACACACACACACACACACACACAAGACAAGCCAAACCAAACCAAACCAAAACCCCAAATAAAGTAACAACAAAAACAGAAGCACCCAACAAACAATCCCAGATTGAAAGTAATTCTCTGGTAGCTTTCAGTTGTTATGACAAATAATGTTTGTAACAATCAACTTAAAAGGAGAGAGTGTGCTGTTATCACTCCCGAGATTTCAGTGAGTCCTTAGAGGCCTGTCCCACTGCTAGGGAGTCTGTGACAATGCAATACTTTGTGGCTGTGACTGGAGCCAAATGATCAAACAAAGCTTCTTATCTGGTTGTGCCCAAGAAGCAAGTTGAGATCAAGAGAAAAGGACCAGGATTCCAGTAACTCCTTTAAAACCCTAATGTGTATGTGTGTGTGTGTAAGTGTATGTGTGTTTTACAAGATTCCATCATGTAAAGGTCCTACAACCTCTCCATGGTACAATAGGTCAGGAATTAAACCCTCAATACATGGGCCTTTGGGGAGACATTTTGGATCTAAATAGAACTTTCTCGAAACACTAGGTGGTCTATCGTTTAGCTGAAAGGTGTGAAATGGCTATCATGTAGACTTTAATGGTGGCTCACATCTGTTTGATACTCACTAATGAGTAGAAAGCACCCAAAAGAAATTCCTTCCTAGTGGCACCTGTTTTCCTCTCCTCCCCCTCTCTTTCTCCTACTTCTTTCTCTATTCACTGCCCCTCCCCACTTCCCCTGTGCTCTGGGGTAGGAAGAGAAGACAGGAGACACACACACACAGAGAGAGAGAGAGAGAGAGAGAGAGAGAGAGAGAGAGAGAGAGAGAGAGCATAAAAGAGGGAGCCAATATTGGTTTGAAGAGAAAATTGAACACAAAGAAAGGTCTAGAGAACTACAAGATTGCCACAAACTAACAATTTGAGCTTCTGTGGAAAGGCTACCATAAATGCCCTTCCTGGAGAGTGAGATCAACAACTACCTTATCCATGGAGCCCTCATCTAATGCCTGTTGGAAACAGAAGCAAACATCCATAACTAAACACTGAGTCAAACTAGAACCCAGATGCAGATGGAGAGGACAAGACCAGGCAGCAGAAACACATAGAGACAGATTACCTGAACAAGGAGGAGCTAACGGGCCCCCAAACTGATAGCTGGGAAGCCAGCATGGGACTGACTCAGGCCCCCCCTGAATATGGGTCTCAGCCAGAAGGACTGAGGAGTCTAAGGGACCTCAGACAGTGGAACCAGGATGTATCCCTGGTGCACAAAAGGACCTTGCGAACACATCCCCCATGGAGGGATAACTGTTTTAGCCTAGAGACAGGAGAGAAGCCCTAGTCCCTACTTCACATGACCTGACAGATCTACATGACCCCAACTGGATGGCATTCCCCTACATATGGGATTGGGGTGGGGGGATGGGAGGGGAGTGTGGTTAGGGTGCATGTGAGAGGGCAGAGAGGGTAAAAGGGAGGGAGGGAGAGGGAACTGGGATCGACATGTAAAATAATACATTAAATAAATAAATAAATAAAAGAAATTCCTTGCTAAGCTGTGAACAGTTACCTTCCAGATTTCATTTATTTTCTTGAACTTTTATTTTACAATATATAAACGCGTCCCTTTAAAAATATATAGGGCCTGGCGCTATGGTTCAGTAGGTGAAGAGTGTACTATGTAATCATGAGGACCCAGGTTCGGCTTCCAGCACCCATGTAAAAAGCCATGCACAGCAATGTACTTGTAATCACAGATCTAAGGTTGTGGAGAGAGATGGGCCCCTGGAACTTACTAGACATCCAGCTTAGCCTAATTGGAAAGCTCCAGGGGGCCAATGAGAGACCCTTTCTAAAAAAAAAAAAACTTGATAGCTCCTGAGGAATGACACCTATGGTCACAGTAGGGACAGATAGCATGTACACACTTGCACACACACGTACTTGTATGCACATACACACATACTTGCAGGCACATACCCTCATATTCCACAGGCCAGGCAGCAAAGCATCAGAGAAAGATAGTTCGGTTGTCATAAAACCGTCAGCTCCTGCAGGTGTTGGGATAATGTTGGCGAGAAACGTGGATCCTGGCAGGACTGGGTGAACATGTTCTGAAATATCTTTTCCATTGTCATCTCTACACTGACCTATGAACTTACCAGGCTTGCCGGGCTCCTCTGCTACAAGTCAGCATAACTGCTCCAGCTAATCCTTGCCTTCGTTTTGAGCATCTGCAGCCATGCACCAAGTTCTCTGTCTGTAGCAGGTATGTTTGGGAAAATACTAGTGCTATCTTCAGACATGAGCATACTAGAGAGCAGTGACTTGGTCATGGGCAGCCACTTGTGGTGAGTAGAAGTGAGACTTCCACTTGGCCTGTTTGGCTCAGAGGCCACATTTTAGTCATTGTGATAAACCACAGTATGTCTCATCACTTGGAGGATAAGTTAATCAGATTTTTTTTTTTTGAAGTTGCTGGTTCTGATTTATATGTGATCACTATCGTTTTTTAAGATTTATTTTGTGTGTGTGTTTTTGCATGTGTCTGCACGCCTATATGTGCACATACATGTGAGTACCTGCAGATGTCAGAAAGTGGCATTGGATTCCCTGGAACTGCAGTTACAGGCATCTCTGAACCATTTGACTTGGGTGCTGGGAATCAAACTGCGGTCCTCTGGAAGAGCAGCAAGTGTTCGCAACTGCTGAGCTGTGTGTTCAGCCTTGACCATGATTATCAACTGAACCATTATTATAGATGTCGCCATACATGCTTTCACTTACCTAGCCCAACTAATGAGAAAGGTTTCCCACACAGTGCGAAAACCTCAACAAGGAAAGAACACTAGAATTATATTTCCCCCTACCTCCTAATCAATGCCACTTACCAGTTAAAAAAAGACATTGGCTTCTTTGATTCCTCTTCCTGAAGGCCATAAACATCCAGTGGACAAACGACAGCTCTAATTCCTCCTGTGCCCAGGCAGAGGGTCAGCAGTGCTGTGTGGAACAGGCTGGCCCGCTCCTCCACAGGCGCGTTGTTAACCATAGGGTAAGAGTCTCCATAGAGATCTTCCAAGGGAAAAGCAAGCACGGATAGCAAAGCAGTACCTGTTGGCAGAGAGAGCAGAATACAAATAGCACAGACCCACAAGACTCACCGAAGCACATCCCAAATAAACGTTTTCCTAAGAAATGCTCATGGTTGTATGGGCGTCTTACTAGCATACTTATGCCGATCCTTGCAATTTCAGGGATGGCTTGGATTTTCTAAGTGTGAAAATTCTGCGGCTGGAGAGATGGCTCAGTGGTTAAGAGCGTGCTCTTGCCGAGGACTAAGTCAGATGCCTCTTCTGTCCTTTGCGGGATGCACTTACACACACAAACCCAGCTCTCCACATGCATAATTGAAAATAAGATAACAAACTCATAAAAATTTTCATTCTTTTATAGCTGACTTGGTAGAGCTCCCTTCCTGTTCCGTCCCCTTCCCTCCTTCCCTCCCTCCCTCCTTCTCTCCTTCCCTGTGTCCTTCCCTCCCTCCTTTCCTGTGGTACTAGGGCTAGACCCCAAACCCTCATACACATTAGGCATTCACTCTGTCCCTGAGTTACATCCCAAGCACCATTAATGTTATTTTTGTCCATTTGATTACTTACTGTTCAACTACTTTGACATTACCATTTTTTGATGTGAATTTTTATTTTTATAAAGTGGTTCTGGGCCATTAGTTCCCCGATTAGAGCTTAAGTTCCACAGAAATATAAATTGGGAACAGCATTTAACGCTTTTTCTACGTGATTACCATGTGGAGAACATAGGCATTTGTTTGTCATTCAGCAATGAGCTAATTTACCTTGAGAGTGGACCCTTAAAGTGACTGAGTTTGAAATGTTTTCTTTCAAGGTCAGCCAGATGTGAAACAATGTGTTTCTCCGGAAGTGTGATGTGAGGCTTGGCAGTACCGAGGGCTGTCCACCAGCATGTTCAGCTCAGATGGCCCCTGCAGTTACCACCTATTTAAGGCCATTCTACTTCTAGACCTCAAGCTGCCTCTGTGTAAGCCCCAAACATGTTGTGGTTCTATCCTCTGAGAAAATGTCACAACACTCTGATTTTATTAGGTCAAGACTTCATTTTTATCTTCTGGAAACGGATGTGATTAGATCAAGACTTCATTTTTAATCTTCAGGAAACTGATGTGACAAAAACACAAATCTTCGATGTATTTGGTAAGAACGTCTCTCCTTGATGTGTGCTGTCGTGTCCTGCACGAGCCACCCGCCTGTACCTGTAAGTGCTGGGAAGCGTGCTGCTGTCATAGCTTACCTGAGGCAGTGGGGAGCAGTTCAGGAGTGAGAGGGTACATTAGAAAGCAGACATACAGAGAGCAGGTACATGGCAGAAGCGTAAATACAGGCATGTAGATTGTTGCAGGAATGTATTCTGGCACATGTGTGTAAAGGTATGTAGAAGCCGGGAGACTTCGGGGGTAGCATACTTTAGGAGCCACCCACTTTGTTTTTGGAGGTAGGGGGTATCTCAGTGACCTGGTACTTGCCAGGTCAGCTAGTGGTGTGTTGTTGTTTCCTCTGAATTGAACCATTCTTTCTAGGAGAGAGAGAGAGGAGGTCAGAAGACCCAGGAGACAGACTGAATTCACATGTCCAGGGAAAGATGAAATTTGCAAGATTCACCAAGTCCCTTTCCCAGAGTCACAGAGGCAGCAATCAAGTGGGGGGGAGCAGGCTGAGACGCAGACAGGGGAGCCCCTGATCCTGGAGCTACTGAAAGTCCCGTGAAGAGCCCTAGGGACGTGGATTCCATGTCATCACATTGGCTGGAGTGCACGTTGTGCTGGTGAGACCCCTGCTTTTTGGTCATCCCTGCTGCTATAAATGACCTCTCACCCATAACCCTGTTAGCAACCCCAAATAAAAACTCACTGGTTAACCAAATTGAATTCTGATGTAATTATTACTTTGGTTGTCGTAAGTTCTATATCTAAGGTGAATAGGTGTGTGTGTGTGTATGTGTGTGTGTGTGTACTTCCTAGGGAAAGCCTCTTACACGTTAGCAGGCCACCTATCTCCATGTCCTAGTGTTGAACTAAAATTGGGTACCACCACATCATGTATTTGGACATTGGCTCTGGGGTGAATTCATGTCTTTGTGCTTACATTGACAAGCACTTACCAACTGAACATCAATCTCCCCAGCCTATGCAGCTCTGTATATTTGATAACCATAAGGGCAAACATGGAGGAGAAGGTAACAATATAAACATGGGTCTTGACAAAACAGCAAGAGTTTTGGAAATATCAGGTACAGAGTGAGAACTTGCTAGTTCCTACTTCTTTCAGGCAGAGAGGAAAATGAATGGATGAGAGAGAAGTAGGAACTAGCAAGATCTCAGTGTCATTAGAGGTGATCGTAGATCATTCCAGAAAACTAAATTTCATACAAATTATAAAAGTATGATAAACCAAATTTGGAGTTTATTTTTTTAGATAATAGAAACAATATGTATTCATTATTTTTCAGAAAGTCATGTTGGTAAAACAGTATGTGGGCTGGAATTGGACAGATTACTGGCAGCTCCGTAGGTAGGCCATTGTCAAGGAGAAAGCTGCATTTTTAATCTAAATTGGTATCAATTCAGACAGAGGTCATACTTTGATTAGAATCTCTAATATTTAGTAACAGGTTGTAATGTCCTGGCAGTTGTAACAGGAAAATCTGGGACATAGCCTGTAGAAGAAATAAAAGCCAAGCTCAGCACCACAGACCATCTCCCTGGAAGGCTAAGGTAGGAGGATGAGTTTCAAGGCCTGATAGATTTACAGGGGATTTTCTAAGACCATCTGGGCAAGCTAGAGAGACCCTGCCTCAAGATGAGAAAGTTAAAAGGGATGGTCATGTAGCTCTGTGATGGAGGGCTTGCTGAGTATGTGTGAATCCTGGCTTCCATACCCAATATGGGGGAGGAAGGGAGAAGAGATGGAGGGAGGAAAGAGAGAGAGAGGGGGAGGGAGGAAGGAGGGGGAGAGAGGGAGGAAGAGGAAGAGAGAAAGAAACAGACAAATGTGAGTGCACACACACACACAGAGACACAGAGAGAGAGGGAAAGAGAGAGGGAGAGAGAGAGAGAGAGAGAGAGAGAGAGAGAGAGAGAGAGAGCATAGGAAGTTAATAGTTCTTTTTGCTTGGGAAAATTCTCAAGTGAAGCTCTGCCTTTCCTGCCATAGTGTGGTGACTTACACAGGAGTTCAGACTGATGTAAGTAACAGCATTAAACAAGAAAGCGACTGAACGCTGTGGTGTGGCATGCTGTCCAGTCAAGGAGAATCCCTCTTTCCCACCTGGGCTTAGCTACCTCCCTATCAGAAGCCTGATGCACAATAGCAGGGCCACCACTTTCTGCCCACCCCCACCCCAGCTCTGCTCCCCTCACAGGCATTGCCACGGACAGGGACCTATTCTCCTGGAGGTTTTCTCTCTCTCTTCACTTGAAAGCCAAGGAATTCATTGTTTTCCATTTGCTTGCTTCACAGACCTCAGAACAACACATTGCTGTAGACTGGGTAGAAAGAAACATTTCTTTCCCCCAGATCAGTCTCTATGTCACAGAATTTGAGTGGTGCTGATGACAAGTGAGAGTCACGCGCTCATCAATTTCTTGAATGGCCGTTTCCTTCTGCTCGTAATCCAGGGCTTCTAGTACCCACTGTGTACGATGCCTCCTCACAGCCACCAGCCAGCACCCGCTCCGACCGCCCTACACGCTTCGCCTCAGCTGCAGCCCACTTCCTGCCGGGTTCTTGAACCTGGGAGGTTGCCTCTGGCCCTGTATCACTTTATTGCCTTTCTGGGCATGTCCGCTAGGTTATCATGTCTCCTGCTTCACTCTTGCCTAAACCACCATGCTGAGCTTTTCTGACGGTCCACTTAATCAGCCTCGTGTGTGTGGCTGAGCGTGCTGTTTGTGGAAGTAAACCCTTTCGCAGCTGTTCCCATCCTCTCTGCTTCCTGCTTTTCTAGAAAGAATGACTGAATTGTGAGCCAGGACCAGAGAGCCGGGTCAGTGGGTAACAGCACTAGCCAAGCAACCTCGCAGTCCCTGAACCCTTCTAAAACGCTCCTGTGGTGGCACACATCTCTGTCCAGTGCTCTTATGTTATGCTAGGAGGGAGAGGTGGGAGAACTGGCTGGAAGCTCACAGGCCAGCTACTCTGGCATAACATGTCTCTCCAGCAGAAGCAAGGGAGACTCTGCCACAAACGGGATGGAAAGTAAAAACCTACGCCCCTAAGTTGTCCTCTACCCCCCCCCCCCCCCGACACACGCAGACTATCTGCCGCTTGCTCTTCATGCCCCATCGAGTATTCCCAAGCCCCTGGAGTATGTTTATTTTTCTTTATGTAAGCAATTATAATGCCCTGTCTAAATTCACTTATCTTTAACTCATCTAACCGTAGTTAAATGTATTTGTACAAAATCTAATTACTATATGACTAATTATAAAGCCCAAACACTTCTTAGTTATTCTATATGAACTTCAGTGACCTTTTTAGCATATTTCATCCAGTTGTGAAGCAAATGAATTTCATGTTTCATAAAGGATCTGCCACAAATTTCAGTTGGAGCATAAAGAGAGAAGCAAGGACATTGTACGGTGTATAGCAGCTTGATATGCAAAGATATAATTAGCCAAAATGTAGACCTCAGAATGCCTTAGGTATTAAAGATCCTGGAAAACACAGTATGTACACATCTACCAATAGCCTAAATAATATATAGACTGAAATAACATACCTAATTTATTATAGTTTATGCTAAGAATAGGGTGGGAAAAAAATAAACTAAAAATTCTAACAAGAACTTATGCAGCTGTGTGACAGACAAGAAACAAAATCCAGCTAGCAGGGGGCACTCACCCAGAAAGTGTAGCACTAAGGACATGTACACCAGTTTTCCCCTTCCGAAGTAGTTGTCTGCAAGCCATCCCACCAACACAGGGGTGAAGGCTGAGACCCCAATAAAGCACAGGTTGAGAATTGCGGCCTGGTGGTTGCAGTAGCCCAGCTTCACCGTGCAAAAGGGGATCATGTTGCAGACGACTTCAAAGAAGGTCAGCTTCTCACACAGTTCCACCAGAAGCAAGCAAATTCCAGCCCGGAAACACCCGAAACATCTCACTGTCTTCTGCTGCCCAGAGCCACCATGTAAGGCCAGTTCATCAATAATGATGCTGGAGTCTGTGACAGGCATAGCTACTTTGACTACTACCCTTGAATACTACTATGTGAGTTGCTTGGACTTGGTGTCTTTTTTTTTTTTAATACCCATTCCTCTAATGAAAAAAAAGAAAGAATAAGATGGCTGCCTTGAATTTCACAGCTCCTTGCTAAAATTTCTTCAGGTTTTTGCACATTAATGCTATTCCTCCTGACAATCTACAAGCACATGAAAGAAGACCACAACATTTAAACACTCAAGGCTCAGCATAGCCAAATCTGATTTGTTTGCTTAATTACTTAGAGACTAAATTAGACACTTCTTCCAAAATTATATTGAGTTACGTGAATCCAGTTGCATATATATATGGAGCTTCATCTGCCTCACACAGATAAAGGTTTAAATATAGAGGCAGAAGGAACAGTTTTTCAGGGGAATTTGAGCACCAGATCAAGAAATAATTTGAGTCTAATAATTCCTGATATTTTAATTAAACAAGCCAGAACAGTGCCAAGAGATAAAGTGCAGAAGGAAATCTGTTTTGAGGAGGCAGGGTACCTTATCATGATTACATTTCTTGTTATTTTTGCTTGGGACTCTGATAAGAAAGTTAATTAGGAAACAAAAGTGCTAGTACATTTAGGTAACGAGCAGAGTTTACAAGGAAGTAATTTAAGCTCTCTAATGAAAGGAGAAAATATTAAATAAACCGCACTTCCTTTAGGTTGACCCCATCCTTGGAGACAGCCTCTCGGAGGAAATCAGAATCAAAAGGTGCCATTTGACTCACTGGTGATTAATCAGCAGTCGGGAGTGTGGCAACCAGCCTACACACGCTTTAGGGAATACGGAATCTAGTAGAAACCTGATCCTCCAACTGAGTGAATGGCAAGCATTGCACTTTGGAAAGCAAGAGAGCACCAATTAGGCTAACAAAAGCAGTGGTGGATGAGAACATCTCACCATTTTGGAGTTTAACTACCGGGATGCAGCGGGCAGAGGTGAATGGAAGTACTGGGCCAACTTGTACAACTTTAACAAGCAGGACTTATTTTCACGTAGCAGCACAAATCCAAAGGTTGATCAAGGCTGTGGACTTGGGTCCTCATCGTTTGTCCTGTGAGCACAGAGCTTTGTCTCTGTATGGTGGATGTTTTGATCGGCCCAGCCTCTCTGTCCCTTCTTTGGCTATCATCTCTATTGTGGGACACCACGTGCTCATATGTAGTCTTTAGGAGGTGGCTACTTGCTAGAGGAAGCAAGTCACTGTGGGTGGCCTTTGAGGGGACACTGGGGGTGCTGTGTTCTCTTGGCTTCCTCTGCACGGGTTCAGTGTGATCAGCTGTCTTCCTGCTCCTGCCAACATGCCTTCCCCGACTGTTGCCAAGTCTTCCTCTCCATGCTGACCTCTGCCCTCTCGACCTGTAAGCCCGAATAAACCATTTTGCCCTAGGTTTCTTTGTGTCAAGCTATTTTATCGCAGTAATGGAAACGAAACTAGTGTTATGTCCCTTTTTTTTTTTTTCTTAGTGTAGAGTGATCACACAGTTAATCCCTTAAACTTGAGCACATCTGTGAGATTAAAGCGATGTTCGGTTCTGTGTACTTATTCCTGGGAAATGGATGTACATGTAGACTGCATGGAGCCAAGTCTAACCTGTGTTAGAGAATGAGTCCCATCTCTTACAGGCGGTCACGGTGGACCTGGCCATCAGAAGATCCCTGTAAACACAAACAGGAGGCTGGTCTACTTAATGAAAGTAGGTCACTGGAGGAGACACATCTTTGAGGGCTGTATATTGTCCAGGTCCCTTCCTGTATTTACTTTTCTATGCTTCCTAGTCTCTATGATGTTAACTTCTCTACTTTCCTGCATCGTTGTTTGTTGAGATGGCTTGGTGAGTAAAGGCCTTGCAGGCCTTGTGGCCTGAGTTCAATTCCTAGAACTGATGTAAAAGTAGAAGGAAGCAATCGATTCCCCCCAAAAAAATGTTGTCCTCTGACCTCCACATGTGTACCTTGGCATGAATCACACACACACACACACACACACACACACACACACACACACACACACAGAGAGAGAGAGACTTACCCATAACAACAACAACAATAATAAAATAATAAAGTTTTAAAATTCATGGGTAGAATGACCCTAGAATCACATGTGGAATCTGAATCACCCAGATGACAGGAAACAAAACCATGGGAAGTAAACCTTACCACCAGCCAAGAAGCTTTTGTGTCTTGTGTTTGCCCCACTTGTGGGGAGATGCTCTCTGGGGACACAGTCTGCCTCCCGAGAGGGTGTCTCAGTGGTGTCTTCCCCCGAGCAAAGCAGTTACTTCTCCTTGCACTGGCCTCTGGTGAGCAGGTTGGAATTCTTGGCCTCACAACCAGACGGAAGGCAGTGGGAACTTGTGCTCTGGAAAATCTTCATCCAAAGAACTACAGAGGTGGCTGGCTTTACTGCCCTTTAGGAGCGCAGAGAGAACCACTTACACTGAAGTGAGGCTCCCTGGAGTTTTCAGTGCAGCCAGGAAGTCTGACGGTGTTGTGATAAGGGCAAAGCAATTAGTGAAAGGATGGTCACTGAGGGGGGAGGGGGAGGGGGAAGGGGGAAGAGGGAGGGGTGGGGGTGATGGAGTAGTGCCCTGCTCCTTCCCCTTGGGTCTGTGAGTCCCTTACACCAACTGCATGCAAAGCCTGTATCAGAAAGTCACAGATGAAGCTTAGTGTAGAAATGACTGAGGAAATGTCACAGATCTCACACAAAAATGCCTCTGCTATTGCCCATCTCTCTTCACATCTATTTCTCAGCTAGTGTAAGCAATGGATCTTTCGGAAATATGGAGCCATCTTCCAGATCTTGTTTGCACAGAACACAGATGTCAGGAATCTGGAATTGTGCTAAGTGGTACTGAAACAATGGAAAACACCTTCTTGTTTGTCCCTTTCCTACCACTCCCCCACCCAGATTTATCTATTTGCGTGTTTATTTATTTTTTGATTTTATTTATTTTGTTTGTGTAAGTATTTTTCCTACATGTATTTGCGCCATGTGCATTTCTTTTGCCATTGGAGTCCAGAAGAGAAATCACTAGATCCCCTAGTTAAGTTAAAGATGGGTGTAAGTTTCATTGTGGATGCTGGGAATAAATCCTGGGTCCTCTACAATAGTAGAAAGTGCTCTTAGCCACTGAGCCGTCTTTCCAGCCTGTCCAGCCTGTCCTACCCATTCTCAATGCCAAATGCAGAGTGCACTCAAATGACAAGTGTCAGGTGTTCTTGAGAATGACGTTTAGCAGGGATTTTGAATGTCATCCTTTTTATTGATAAAACTATCCCTGAACACTGGAAACATGGCTCAGTGTGTAAGGACCCTTAACACACAAACTTGAGACCTCAGTGTAGGTTTTTGGAGATTGTGTAGAAGCCACAAGGTGAGTACATACTATGTTCTTCTTTTTGTGACTGGGTTACCTCATTCAGGATGGTTTCTTCAAGTGCCATCCACTTGCCTGAAAATTTCAAGGTACCATTATTTTTTTTCTGCAGAGTAGTATTCCATTGTGTAGATGTGCCACATCTTCATTCTTCAACTGAGGGACATCTAGGTTGCTTCCATGTTCTTGCTATTATAAATAGTGCTGCTATGAACATAGCTGAACAGATGTCTTTGTTGCATGGATGTGGATCCTTTGGGTATATGCCTAAGAGGGGGATTGCCGGGTCCTGTGGTAAACTAATTCCCATTTTCCTGAGGAACCGCCATACTGATCTCCAAAATGGCTGTACGAGTTTGCACTCCCACCAGCAGTGAGGAGTGTTCCCCTTTCTCCACAGCCTCTCCAACATGAGTCATCATTGGTGTTTCTAATTTTAGCCATTCTGGCAGGAGTAAGATGGTATCTCAAAGTTGTTTTGATTTGCATTTCCCTGATAGCTAAGGATGTGGAGCACTTTAAGTATCTTTCAGCCTTGTTGATTTCCTCTATTGAGAATTCTTTCTTCAGTTCTGTACCCCATTTTTTAATAGTATGTACTCACTCATATATGGATTTTAGACCTAGATCAAAGGATTACCAGCTTATAATTCACACCACCAGAGGAACTAGTATACAAGGTGTATTCTAAGAGAGTCATATAAAGTCCCTCACAGAACCGGGAAGGGACAAGTCCCTCAGAGCACAGGGGAAGTGGGGGGGGGCAATGAATGGAGAGAGAAGTAGGAGAAAATGAGGGGGAGGAAAGGAAAACACATGCAACCAGGAAGATTGAGCCCGGTTAGGAATAGAAGTCAGGAGAGAGAGAGAGAGAGGGAGAGAGAGAGAGAGAGCATAAAAGAGGGAGCCAATATTGGTTTGAAGAGAAAGTTGAACACAAAGAAAGGTCTAGAAAACTACAAGACTGCCGCCAACTAACAATTTGAGCTTCTGTGGAAAGGCTACCATAAATGCCCTTCCTGGAGAGTGAGATCAACAAATAACTTATCCATGGAGCCCTCAACTAATGCCTGTTGGAAACAGAAGCAAACACTCATACCTAAACACTGAGTCAAACTAGAACCCAGATGCAGATGGAGAGGACAAGACCAGGCTGCAGAAACACATAGAGACAGCTTACCTGAGCAAGGAGGAGTTAACGGGCCCCCAGACTGATAGCTGGGAAGCCAGCATGGGACTGACTCAGGCCCCCCTGAATATGGGTCTCAGCCAGAAGGACTGAGCAGTCTAAGGGACCTCAGACAGTGGAGCCAGGATGTATCCCTGGTGCATAAAACTACCTTGTGAACACATTCCCCCTATGGAGGGATAACTGCTTTAACCTAGAGACAGGAGAGAAGCCCTAGTCCCTACTTCACATGACCTGTCAGATCTACATGACCCCAACTGGATGGCATTGCCCTACATTTGGAATTGGGGTAGGGGGATGGGAGGGGAGTGTGGTTAGGGTGCATGTGAGAGGGCAGAGAGGGTAAAAGGGAGGAAGGAAGGGAGGAAGGGAGGGAAGGAGAGGGAACTGGGATCGAC